GCTTGGCAATCCTCCGCCTCGGTACCGCACCGAACTTTGTGGGTCATAATGTAGTTCGCCACTCCGGGTGCTGGGGCTTAGGTTGCCGGCTTCCCATAATTTAGCTTTCATCGCATAGCAGTGTGTAATAAGAAAATCATTGTAGACCGGTTTTGCCGACCTACACACCTCCATTAGGTGTATTCATCTATCTGCGGTTGAACGCGCTGTTGATGTTCCGATAATTTTCTTCCTCTCTCCATTCCACTTTGGATCTTTCGGTGTGTGGTTTCTCTTCTGACCGCGCATTCGCTCATTCTTCTGTGCAGTTGGCCCTGTTCTGTTTTCGAATTCACTCCTCGAGGTAATTTTTCATCGACACTTATCCGTGCAAGGTTCACTGTGCACTAACACATGGCTGGTGCGAACATTCATGTCCAGCACTATTTTTGGGATCGACCAATAAGTGAGAAAACGGTGAGGTAAGCACATGTTTAAGAAAAGCAAACCGAACAAGTCTGCGATTGGTCTTCATCCCGAGTTCCGACGTTCCTCAAGGTTTTCATCGGCCCTTCAGTGAGTGCCTCACATACATTGTTGCGACTAGGGACACAATATTCAAGCAACTTAGTTTGTCGCTTAATTGCACGTGGTTTATTGAATGTACCGCGGTAGATACATTATGTGTACAACAATCACGCGGATAGTTTTCATCTATTTTCATCCGCGCGAGACCTAGAAGGTTTATTTTTCTTTTTATTACATACACGCTTGGCATATTCGCGAATCATATTTTGATACCTTATTTTTTTTCCTTGAACTGGCAGTTAGTTCAGTGATTGCAATATAAAACGATCGTTGTGCTGTACCGACTCACCAAATTGGATCGAAAAATTTGCGAGCTTCCTTGAATTGTGTATTTTCGTACATTGACAAGTCTTGTTATGCCCATGCATGCTCCTGCCCACCGTACGCAACAGTTGGTATTAGATCAAAAGCCTATTTTGGTGACAACAGTAGTCTTTGTGCATGCCAAGTACCTTTACTCATTTGGACCCAGACATGCCCGTTACTCCGGAGCCGTACACGGCGTTTTACTTACGGTTCCCCTTCCAGCGGTCAATGAAAAACGAACTGTACGCAGGATTCCGTTCAGTACCTCGGTGTTAGTCTCATTCGCAACCTGTCCAGGTCTGCTCATGTTCGTAGCGTTTCTTTTTTTTACAAAAGTTCAAAGACTGTCTCATTACTCCTACACGCTCACGAAACGAAACTGGCCGTCTCGCATAATCTTGTTCCTAAATTGGTATTTGGCTGCATCCTTCCACACAGGTCCCCAATATTTAGCCCTGGTTCAAGAGAGAACGATTGCATCTTGCTTTTCAGACCCAATTCGAATCCGACTCTCATAGTCGTATTTACATCCTATATCTCATGCGCTTGTCTGCGATTAGCGAAGCTCACCTCACCTTATTTCGTCGCCTGGTGATGTTGATGATTGGAAAGTTGTTGATCATCCTGAACATTTGTTTATTGTAATCACCGATTCATCCTCTCTCGCTTTATTCACTCGTGTAGTTCCCCGGCGAAGGATTTCAGGATTTTTCTCCTCCTTCGACCGAATCGTCTTACCAGGACATAATTCATTATGTGACGGGTGACGTGGACGACGATGATGTGGCATTTCTAGCCCTGACAGATTCCACTGACACCGAGTCAGAGTTCGGATTACCGTTGTCCGAATTCATGGACTTTGACGATGAAGATGACGAGGAATTTGATCCACGCC